CCCAGGTGAGTCTCGAACCTGTGGGCTCAGGCAATCCACTCACCTCAGCCTCCCAAAGCATGGGATTACAGGCTGAGCCACCAAGCCCGGCTTCGTTTCCTCAACTTAAATAAAGCTTTAGGGTATGGGGGTGGGAAAGTAATACTTTTAGTGGCAGTGATTAAACTATCTGGTTCCTGAATTTCTGGTTTCCAAATGATTCCTTTACTGAGCCCCTAGAATCATGAATTCCAGACCGAAAGCACTATTTACAGATAAATGCAATTTCCCAGTAATTCTCTTATAAAAAAAAGCCTCACTGAAGAGCACAACATCATCTGCACAGAATCAGTTATGCAGTGCACGCGTCACCGTAAAACAGAATCCCAGCCATCACGGCTGCTGCGCGAGTAGCTAGCGAAGGCGGGACAGCACCCTCCTCCCCTTCTTCACCTCCCCCTCCTGGTTATCACCATGGCCACGATATGAAAGGTATCCGATGTCTGTTACGTGAATAGAAGAGGCGAATTCTAGATAAAGGGAATCTATTTCCTTCAACTAACATTCAAGAGTTACTGTCTTATGCTGTTCAACTTAAAAATTTTTTTTAAATGACCTTCAATAAAAGCAGAAAGATATGAGTCGCTGTAGCTTTTAATGCAAAAGACAAGACGTTAATGCTATCCGCATGAAGACAAATGCAGAAAATAGGCACCATATTTCGAGAATAATGCCTATACTCCCAAAAAATCACTATGTAATGGAATGAAAATTTTAGAATCACATACTGTGCTAAAGAATATAGGGCAATAGTCCTTTTTAATTCTATCATTTCAAGAGGGAAAAATCCCCCATTGTTATGTGACAGAATGTAAACCAATCAAAATTCAATCCTAGCTGGGCTCGGTGGCTCAGCCTGTAATCCCGCGCTTTGGGAGGCTGAGGTGAGTGGATTGCCCGAGCCCATGGGTTCGAGACCCGCCTGGGCCACTTGGCGAGACCTCATCTCCACAACAAATCAAAAAATTACCTAGGCGTGGTAGCGCACGCCTGTAGTTCCAGCTACTGGAAGGCTGCGGTGGAAGGATCGCCGGAGCCCAGTAGGTCGAGGCTGTGGTGGCCGGGAGCGGCCACTGCACTCCAGTCTGGGTGACAGAGTGAGACTCCAACTCAAAAATAAATAAATACATAAAAATAAAAAAAAATTCGATCCTACAACTCACACTTCAATGACAACATGGCTGGATTGCTTTAGAAGAGGTTTTGATAAAGGGACTCTATAAAAAGAAGTCAGAATGTACAAGATTCTGTTTCTAGCAGCACTGCTCTCTCTTCTGTCTAGTTGATGACATGTCTATCTCCAGCCCAGTTAATTACAAGCGAGTGTAGTGCTATTCAGACCATAAGAATGGGCACAGGGGACAGGAAAAGGTGATTCCAGTATCCCGTAAATTATCAGCAAACAGCATTTTTTTAAAAAAACACTGTAGACAATAGTGGAAAAGACTACAAAACGGAAATTACTTTTATGAAAGCACCTGTGATTTTAACCTAAAAAGTCACGCAAATGAGATGTGAAAATGCTTCCTAGACAGTAATACGATAAAAACTTGACGAATCTTAGTTGTGCAACACTTACCAGTTCTTCCAGATAAATAATAAACTGTGCTATGGGCTAAGTGAACTTGAAATGTTACAGCAGCTGCTCCAGTGTCACTCTCATTTGGTTAAAAATACGACCATGAAATGCAAATTTTAATAAATTTTGAATACTTCATGTGGACAAGCAGAATACTCACAGCCCACTGTCCTAGCAGGTTGACCAAGAAGTTGCCACTGAATCGCACCGACAGCATCTGGGAGATGACGTAGAGGTTGGAGACCAGGGCCGACTGCAGGATGATGGGGATGTTGGATGTGTAGAAGAGCTTGATGGGGTAGCTGCTATACTGGCCCCGGTAGCGGGCTGACTTGATGGGCAGGTCCACACGGAACCCCTACGGCAAGCCTCGGGTGAGACGGGACACACGCACCAGGAGGGGCGAGACCAGAGGTGGAGGACAAGCAGCCACGGGGAGCCAGAAAGGACAAGGCCGACAACAAGCTTTTCCTCTCCAAAGTACCGTGACTTGGCCAGGTGTGGGGGTCCACGCCTGTCATCCCAGCACTTTGGGAGACCGAGGCCAGTGGAGTGCCTGAGCCCACGGGTTCTAGACCAGCCTAGGGAACATGATGAGACCTCGTCTCAGCAATAAATTTAAAAAATTAGCCAGGTGTGGTGCCACATGCCTGTAGTTCTGGCTACCTGGGGTGGAAGGATCTCCTGAGCCCAGCAGGTCAAGGCTGCGGTGGTCATGAGCATGCCACTGCACTCCTGACTCTGACTCAAAAAAGAAAAAGAAAAAAAGTACAGTGACTTTAAAATTCTTTTCTATTCCATAACCACCAATACTTTGTACCTTAAAATGAGAGTCTGAGACTCTATGGAATTATTTGCTTCACTAGATCCTAAAAGCCCAACTTGTTAGACACTAACATTTCAAATGGCATTCTCTTTAAGAGCAAAATAAAAATCCACAACCCACTTACTTTGGCGAAATTATACTCACCTGAAAATATATAACCACAGCAAACACAAAAACTGTGGCAATGAGGTTCATGAGATTGGGTAAGTTCTGCCGATAAAAAGCCTCCCGTAAAGCTCGGACTTTGTCTGTCCTGGTGGCCAACAAATGAAACAGAGCTATGACAGCGCCCTCAAATTCAGTACCTGAGAAAGCAAGACAGAAACAACTGTAGACTCGCCATCCTGAGCTGCCCAAAGGTCAAAACAAGCAACCTTGAAACTCCAGCACACAGTAGGACGTATGGATCAAAAGAATTCACCGGTGTTGCTTTATGATATAGCCATGTGAGCAGCTTCTAAAAAATTTAGATCACTGAGGCAAATCTATCTTTTTTAGTATAAAACTGAAGTTTTCTCAAGACACTTCTTGATGAAAACATACAGAGGAGAATTTACAAAGCAAATATTTCATTCTTAAGGCTTGTCTCTCCTTCACTTTAGGGAAAGGAAGAGTGCATTTTCAGGAAGAATAAAAAAGCAGCAGCAAAGCAGAATGCAGACGTCAGAGTCAAAAGACGTGTTACTCTGTTGAGCTCGCCTTTATGTTTATGGTACCAAGAACATTAATACACAATCATTACTGTTTTCTTAAGGCTGGGATCACACTGGAGGCGTTAACCACTTAGGACAGGATGGCATCTGACAGAAGTGGCGAATGGGCAAGGGGAAAGACAGAATGAAATATTTCAAAACTTCGGTGCTATTATAAAGCCAACTAGAAGAGCAGCAAAGTATTAGTGCTCCCTGCAAATACAATTAACAATAGTTTTTTTCCTTTGAAAAATCTTAATCCACCACCTCTTTAATCGCCCAAGGAATGCTGAAATCGGTCAAATATATGACTTCCGCAGCAACGACTTAAGCAAGATTAGCAAACGATTTTTTAAATGTTTGCAACCACTGAAATTTTAAATGAGCAGAGGCTAAAATTTAAATACTATTCTTTCTGAATTAGTAATGCAAACTACACAAATCGTGTTAAGTTTCGAGCAGGCCCGGCAGGTGGCTCGAGCCTGTAATCCCAGCACTTTGGGAGGCTGAGGTAGAAGGATTGGCTGAGCCCAGAATTTGACACCAGCCTGGGCAACATGGCGAGACCTCATCTCTACAGTAAATCAAACAGCTGGGCATGGTGGCACGTGCCTATAATCCCAGCTACTTGGAATGCTGGGGCAGAAGGATCGCCTGAGCCCAGTAGGTCGAGGCTGTGTGACAGTGATTGTGCCACTGCACTCTAGCCTGAGCATCTAAGACTCCAACTAAAAAAAAAAGTTTTGAACAATTAGCATTCGTTATCCCCTAGGAGAGCAAACCAGAATGGCTCTAGCATGTACAGCTACATGGCGGCTTTGTTTCAGCACACATCCAGCAAAACTCGTGCAGTTGCAGTCACTGTGCAATGTACCTCTGCCCGTGTTAATGGTAGTGGGACTAAAGGCCTTCCAGACAATGGTCTCACAGATGTTGGTGGCAATAAAGAGGGAAATCCCAGACCCCAAGCCGTAACCCTTCTGTAGCAGCTCATCTAACAGCAGCACAATCAAACCAGCAACAAACAACTGTGGGGAAAGAAATGCAAGTAAGCGGAAGCAAGAACAAACCCAAGAAAGGGAAGAGGGCACCCAGGGTGGGCACTTTCAAAACGGGGCCCTGGCTGTTGCAGCATCACCATGAGGGCTAGCTGCGTCTTTTGACCTGCTTTAGTTCAGGCAGAAGCCAATTCGGATAATCAGATTGGAAATATTGTTACGTTATAAAGCAAACACGTCAACTTTTAAGGTATATTTACACCATCCGAACAGTCTCCCATAGTGTTTAAATAAGGCTGATTTGAAAAGCACACTAAGACAAAAAAGATCAGTTATAAAATCGATGACAGCGAGGAACTGAAAACATCCCACATACCTCCAAGTAAGTAAAAGGTCAAATGAACTATGGTATAACAAGATAGCATTGTACACTGCCACCAAGGATAAGCCAGAGGGTTATGTTGACGCTTTTTAAACAGTATTACACAGAATACTTGATGTATCATATACGTATATTTTATATAATATGTATAGAGTAAGTCCAAAAGTACAGCACAAATTAATATTACACAGATTATAACAATGTGAAAATGCTTTCTACACATACAGTAGCAAGGATTAAATGTAAATTTGAAGACACCTAAGAGTTTGTCGGGTTCTTAAGCTCCTCATTATTTTTAAATGAAAGCATTCCAGCTTTAATTCCTGTGATACTGAACATGCTGAACTTTCTTCTTGAAGAAGACATTTCTGTAAAAGCATGCATCGACTAAAACCAATCCGTGGCCTGCAAGGGACCTCTTCAGTCGTGACTCCTCCCCACACTGAGTCACCTGATCAGGAGGGGAAGAAAACACGCCCTGCGCCCCCACTCCGTGCATCCCACGTGAAAGACACCTCCTGCAGAAGCGAGAAGGCCACTTCAGTTCCTCCCGCTCAGAAGCCACCAGCCCTTACCATGTGCTCACTGTACTCAAGGTCACCTGTTGGAGGAAGGAGACGCGGACTCCGTTACCCACTGGAAGCAGGCTTACCTTGCACATGGTTGTTTTTCCTTAACTGCCACTTCAATGGCTGTACAGAGCCTAACTTGTCTATTTACGGTCTCTTAGTGTGACTTTCAAAGGACTGGAGAAGGGGGACAATTCTCAAGCCTTCTAAGAGAGATCATACTAATCCTGTACCGTTTGAAAAATCAAGGTTGACATTTTGACAAAACAGGAGTAAAGTTAGAACTTACTCACGACTAGATTTGACCACAGTTATGCACTGAGCAAATAAATACTCCCCACCTCCCAAAGAGAAACCCAGCCCCAAGCAGGGACTAACAGCTGTCCACGAGCCACCAGCCAACCAAAAACCATCGTCACGGGCTTCTGGGAAGCGACGCCACAGCCACACGGCAAGTCTGACTCAGGTGGAGTCTCTGGCCCCGCTCGGGACAGCATCCGCCAGCCCCCAGGGTTCCCGTGTGTCCTGTGGAAATGAAACTCCTAGGCTTTTCCAATGGGAAAAAGGAACTGCAGAGAAATGAGAAACGGTTTCTAGACTTGTCGGAGTGAGATAAAAGGCAGCAAATGCCATGTGTGCCTGTCAAAGAAATGAGACACCAGGAAGTCACAGCAGCACTCCACGCTCAGCACGATGCTGAGACTAGAACACGGGCCACGCTCAGGCAAGAGCGCTGAGCAGGTGCAAAAAGGCACCTGGCATGGTGGCCCTTCCCGTGCGCGCACACACGACTCAGTCTGGCCAAACATACCCACCTTTCTTAGGCGCCATGCACACTGATATTTTCTATTTGTGTTTAAAAGAATCTTAATCAAGCCTCGCTATTTATATTGAGAAACACTGATCATGGGAATGAGACAAGAAGAAGTAGGGTGAGAAATACTGTCCAAAACCGCATGCAAACAGTTTCAATACCTATGTCTCCAGGTGAAGACACACTGATCCAATCCCAATACTTCAGTGTGTTTACATATTCTCAGTGTTAGCAGTGTCTTGAAAAGACACAAACAGGTCACTATCCACTTATGACCAAACATGACATACATTAACCTAACTAGAAGAATTAACCACATCACAAATGTTTTTATACCAAAATTTTTGTAAACAAATTAGTATGTATGCACATCATTTATTTCATTCTTGGATTATAACTTTTTCTGGATCTCTGAATATTGAAAATAAACATAAAAATAGCTTAATTCCACATTATATCCATTTAAATCTATGACTGACTCTGTAAGAACTCTATTCTTTATCTAATGAACACAGAATTGTTTAGCTGAAGTTCCTTAGGTGTCTAAATATATGCTGATTTTTTCTCTTTTTTTTGAGTACATTCACACCCACTGTAGCCTCGACCTCCTGGGCTCAGGTGATCCTTCCACCTCAGCCTTCCAAGTAGCTGGAACTACAGGCGTGCACAACCATGCCCAGTTAATTTTTCTTGATTTGTTGTAGAGATAAGGTCTCAACCAAGTTGCCCAGGCTGGTCTGGAACCCCTGGGCTCAGGCAATCCTCTCACCTCGGCCTCCCAAAGTGCTGGGATTACAGGTGTGAGCCACTGCGCCCCCCTAAATATATCCTTTATAAGCATATATATGGATTTATATATCCTTAAAAAGAAACCCTAGAGAGACTTGACACTGTATAATGTTCTAAGAGCTAGATGCCAGTTCTGAGCATCTTTTTAAAATCAGGGTTATTCCAAACAATGGGATGCAAAAAGCAAATGCTATAAAGGGGATGCAAAAAGCAAATGCTATAAAGAAGCAAAACAGCCGGGTGCCATGGCTCATGCCCGTAATCCCAGCACTTTGGAAGGCGGAGGCGAGAGGACGGCCTGAGCTCATGGGTTTGAGACCAGTATGAGCAACTTGGCGAGACCTCGTCTCTACAATAAATCAAAAAATTAGCCAGGCGTGGTGGTGTGAGCCTGTGGTTCCAGCTACTGGGAAGGCTGAGGCAGAAGGATCACCTGAGCCCAGCAGGTCGAGGGTGTGGTGGCTGTGTACTGTACTCCAGCCTGGACAACTGAATGAGACTTGACTCAAAAAAAAGAGCAAAACACGATTCGGCCTGACGTGCTCCACCCTCATGACATCATGGTGGCATACTGAAGACAGGCTGGACTCAGCTATATCCAATACTCCCAGATCTGCGCAAAATCAGTGAGATGCACCGAAGAGAGACTTCAAAGCAAATGCCAAGAAGACTCCCAGCAGCAGTGCAAAAATTGTGAAAGTAAAAAAGGAATAATCTGCCTGACTAAAGCTTGAAATGCTGCCTTTCCAAGGTGAGGATGTGTGGGCACATGTTATGACAGATTGAAAATGATCTCACTTCATGAAAAAAATACCTGGCTTGTTCATAAATTGACATTACCAGTAAATTGAAGTATGGTTCAAAAAAAAAAAAAAAGGAAGACACAAGGCAACACCTGGCCTGCCAGTCCCTCAGCAACACCAAGAGCAAACGAAGGGGTCCTGAGCACGGACGGACTCATGTCGTCTCCAGGACGCTTTTGCTCTCATCCGCCACGCTTATTCCTCTAACTCCCAAGGGCGACACATTTGCCAATCAAGTGGAAATGGAGAAATAAACACAATATTATCTTTTTTTTGAGTTGGAGTCTCACTCCATCGCCCAGGCTGGAGAGCAGTGGCACGCTCACGGCCATCCCAGTGTCGACTTACTGGGCTCCGGCGATCTTTCCGCCTCAGTCTCTCAAGTAGCTGGAACTACAGGTGCGCGCTACCACGCCTGGCTCATTTTCGATTGTAGAGATGAGGTCTCACCAAGTTGCCCAGCTGGGCTCAAACCTGCGGGCTAAGACAATCCACTTGCCTCGGCCCCCCAAAGTGCTAGGATGACATCCTGAGCCACCCAGCCCAGCCCACAAAATTCTTCTTTAAGGAAATGCATCTTATATCAAATGGGAAAACACTGGACTCAGAAAGTTGCCAAAGAGCTTGATATTCCATTACAAACTCCTGCCCCAGTCAAAACACAAAGTAGTTCCATCTCATAGAAAAGCCATTGCTATTGTTAAGGTTGCTAATAAATATCTGGACGGTCGAACTCTCCTTGTTATGAATTATGCTCCCTAAACAATCTTATGATTTGCCTCCTGTATACGTTTTCTTTTTTTCTTTTTTTTTGAGTTGGAGTCTCACTCCATGGCCCAGGCTGGAGTTCAGGGGCACACTCAGGGCCACCTTCGCATCGACTTAGCTGGGCTCCAGTGATCCTTCCACCTCAGCCTTCCAAGTAGCTGGAACTACAGGTGCACACTACCACGCCCAGCGAATTTTTTATTTATTGTAGAGACGAGGTCTTGCCAAGTTACCCAGGCTGGTCTTGAATCCACAGGCTCAGATAATCCTCTAGTCTTGGCCTCCCAAAGTGCTGGGATTACAGACTGAGCCACAGACCTGGCCAGTTTGCTTATTTAAAAAAAAAAAGGCCAATGCCATTCTGAGATAGTCATATTTCTCAATAGATGTATTAATAAACTGGTATTTGAGGTATCTAGAAGTATTTTTTTCTGAGTTTGATCTTTTGAACTATTAGAAAAAAATTCCTTAAACTAATTCTGACTTCACAGAGGCATCTCTGTGAGAAGAGGCATCTCCAAGACTCCCAGGACTCCTGCTACCCACTGTTCATTAACTTGGGCAAACTTTCTCTCAAAACACAATAAATGTTATAAATAACTTATCTATCATCTATCCTTGGGTAATTTCTGTAAATGATTTTTAAGAATTGTACAACAGAGAAATATCTTCTAAATATAACACACTTTAAGATACTCAGGACAAGCTGGGCATGGTGGCTCAGCCTGTAATCCTGTGCCTTTGGGAGGCTGAGGTGAGTGGACTGCCTAAGCCCCCGGGTTCGAGACCTGCCTGGGCAGGCGAGACCTCATCTCTACAATAAATCAAAAAATCAGCCGGGCGTGGTAGCGCACGCCTGTAATTCCGGCTACTCAGAAGGCTGAGGCGGAAGGATCGCCAGAGCCCAGCAGGTCGAGGCTGTGGTGGCCGGGAGCGGCCACTGCACTCCAGTCTGGGCGACAGAGTGAGACTCCAACTCAAAAAAAAAAAAAGATACTCAGGACAATGATAATTATGTTGGCCTTTAAAAATTCCATTTCCAAGCACCCATTTAAAAAATCCATGGAACACATTGATGTGTGTATACAGAGGATTTCACTTACTCTATTATTACTTAAAGCACCATTATTTTGTGTACCGCTAAGAAAGAAAAGAATAATGCCAACTAACCTATGACACAATATCTTATGAGAAAAAATTTCATTTTCTACTTATAAAGAGAATTTTTGACTTAATTGTAGATGTTTATCCTCAAGCTTGCCTTTCTATATTCACAATAACTTTCATTTCAATAGCAAATCACAACAGATTTTTCTGAAGACTTTTAGACAGCAACTGGACTCAAGCATCTGTTCTGTCAACAATGGACATAACCAACTGATGTCAGGGCAACACGAACGGCCAAGTTCCAGTTGACATGCGCAGTCAGTAACATCACCATGACTGCCTCCTGGCTGACAGCATGTGTAAGACACTGTTAATGGAACAAAAACATCCTGATTCCAGAAACCAAAATATGAAAAATGGGCATTTTAGAAACAACGACATACAGTTGATCCATAATTCTTTACACTATGCAGTTATAAGGTTACTAGGATATATTTTAATTTTTGACATCAATACAATTTATACATATCATAGTCACAAAATGTCTTTGCAGAATAAAACTGTACATATCATTTCAGTAATCAAAATATTTTGATTAGATAGAATAATTCAAAAGCAATGAATAAATCAATGAATAAATCAATCACCAAAAAAACTGTTAGAAAAGAAAAAAGGAAGCAAACTGTTTGGGTATCTGCATATGAAAGTATCGGATCTCTTACCTGAATAATGATAAGGAGACAGATCCCGGCACCCATTTCCGCGGGGTCCCCGTACATGCCCGTCATGACATACACAATGGCTTGCCCAATGGTAATGATCATACCAAATACTGACAAAAATTGGGGGAAAGGAGTACATGCTTACAACCAAAGACAAAAAAGATCGAGAACACATCTTTACCACAAACAGTCTCAAATTTGGAAAAAGCTCTTAAACTGTAGTAATGCTCACGTTTCTGGGCTCCGTTGAATAAAGCTCTATCTTTGGGTGTATCGCCAACTTCAATGATCTTGGCTCCAGCTAACAACTGCATAATCAAACCAGATGTTACAATTGGGGAAATACCCAGTTCCATTAAAGTTCCTGGAGGGAAGGAAAAAGAAGTAAGCAATTTCCCTGTACATGATACAGATTGATTCAGAAGCATCCCAGTCCCAAACTACTTTGACTGAAAGACATACGTAAATGTTAACAAGCCAATTTTCACTTCATAAACATTAGATGCTTAAAAAAACTCTTACTTATTAACATAATCCTATAACAATGAAGTGAATAAAAAGTACTACAAAAATGTAAATTTCCATAAATCCTAAACTTAAAATGTAAGATAAAACCTTTTTTTTTTTTGAGTTGGAGTCTCACTCTGTCGCCCAGACTGGAGTGCAGTGGCCGCTCCCGGCCACCGCAGCCTCGACCTGCTGGGCTCCGGCGATCCTTCCGCCTCAGCCTTCCAAGTAGCTGGAACTACAGGCGTGCGCTACCACGCCCGGCTGATTTTTTGATTTATTGTAGAGATAAGGTTTCGCCAAGTTGCCCAGGCGGGTCTCGAACCCGCGGGCTCAGGCAATCCACTCACCTCAGCCTCCCAAAGGTGCGGGATTACAGGCTGAGCCACTGAGCCCGGCTTGGATAAAACCTTTTAAAAAGAAATCTTCTTCAAGGTAATTTGCCAAGGGCTTGGAAAAAAATAAAAATAAAAATAAATAAAAGAAATCTTCTGGCCAGGCTCGTTGGCTCATGCCTATAATCCCAAGCACCTTGAGAGGCAGAGGAGAGAGGACTGCCTGAGCCCACGGGTTCGAGACCAGCCTAGGCAACTTGGCGAGACCTTGTCTCTACAATAAATGAAAGAAATTAGCCGGGTGTGATGGCATGTGCCTCTAATTCTGGCTGGAAGGCTGAAGTGGAAAGATGGTCTGAGCCCAGCAGGTCAGGGCTGTGGTGGCCGTGAGCATGGCACTGCACTCCAGCCTCGGTGACAGAGTGAGACTCCGACTCAAAAAAGAAAAAAATAGTCGGGCTTGGCAGCTCAGCCTGTAATCCCGCGCCTTTGGGAGGCTGAGGTGAGTGGATTGCCTGAGCCCGTGGGTTCAAGACCCGCCTGGGCAACTTGGCGAGACCTCATCTCTACAATAAATCAAAATTATCCGGGCGTGGTAGCGCGCGCCTGTAGTTCCAGCTACTCGGAAGGCTGAAGCGGAAGGATCGCTGGAGCCCAGCAGGTCGAGGCTGCAGTGGCTGGGAGTGGCCACTGCACTCCAGTCTGGGTGACAGAGTGAGACTCCAACTCAAAAAAAAAGAAACTTGGAAAAAAATCAAATGTAAACAGGAAAGGACCCTGATGGCTTGCCAGTATATGCCTACATATGCCTAGCATATGTAGCACACGCTTCTTCCTGCAGTCTCTGAGCCTGGTGTGATCCGACCCTCAGACACGTTTGCCACGTCACATCCCAGCACGCCTCCCCCTCCTGTCTTCTAGCCAGCGACCTCCCCGGCATTCTCAGAACCTGTCAGCGCACTCTCACCTCAGGGTCTCTGCACCTGCTTCTCCCTGGAACCTTCTTCCCCCGGGTCTTCATGGCCTTCCCGGCAGCCTCTTCCAATATCACCTTCCTGGAGCTCCTTCCCCTCCCAGGCACTCCCCACAGGTCCCACACAGAAAACATGAGCTCCACGACAACCAGGAGCATTGTCCTGTATGCTACTCTCATCTCAGTACTTAGCTCCAAGCTTGACACGCGGTAAGGACCCATGGTCATTAAATGAAATAGCTGATCCAAGAAATTAAGTAAACAAACTAAGGAGCAGAACAGATATATGGTGTGTCTTATTTTTTAGTTCGAAAGAAAAGTATACGGGCGGGGATCACGTGACAACACAAAGGGTACCTGGTCCACTACGGGGGAGGGAGGGCCAGCTAGAAGCCAGACGTCACCTGCATGCAGCCCACTTACATAGCCAATCCTCACTTGTACCCCACAACTCTAGAATAAATAAATAAATTTTTTTCAAAAGTATACAAGTGGCGACCAAAAGAAAGCACAATTATCTTTCTTTTTTTTTTTTTAGAGGGCAGGCCCCTTACAGTACAGGCTTCCCCCACTAGGTGAATGTTCTAGGAACCCATCAGCATCAGTGCACCAGCTTGCGATGCTGGGAGAGGCTGCATTTGGCTTCAGTGAAATTTTTGGAGATTCTTTCAACACATTTGCCCATTTCATTATGGGTGATTTATGTACGAGTGTACCTACCTACGCTATACTGAATATTCAGTAGTTTTTTACCAAAGCAGCCTCAGCTTCCCTTTACACCAGATCTTGCTCCAGACAACTTTTTTGGTTTCCCCCCCAAAACAGGAAAAAAAAAGTCCTCACAAGGAAATGTTTTGCCAATATGGAAGAGGTGAAACTAAAAACGACAAACGGCAGAAGCACTAGAAAGCATCAAAACTGATGTGTTTAGAAACTGTTTCGAGCAGTGGAAAAAGTGTCTTGCGAGTGTATTGCATCAAATAGAGAGTACTTTGAAGGTGACTGAAGTTTAAACATGTAAGAGTAAATACACAATTTTTTATAAATAAATTCCAGGTTGGGGGGTCCCCCCTCTTAAAGATTCATATGTGTAAATGGATATGCAAAGAAAGAGTCTAGATGGACAGTCACCAATCTAATAAATAACCAAGAGCACTCCCTCAGAAGTAACATTTATTTTCAGCTTCATATAACTCTGCATATAAATTGTTAGTGCAGGCCAGGCACCAGGGCTCACGTCTATAATCCCAAGCACTGAGCTGGGCTCGTGGCTCAGCCTGTAATCCCGCGCCTTGGGAGGCTGAGGTGAATGGATTGCCTGA